ACGTACGGCATTTCTTTGACTCAAACGGCCCACAGTTTAGTACTTTCCATTAGCACAATCGCAAACAAATCAATAACAAGGAAGCATAAGTCCTGCATATAAAAATAGGACCAAACTGTTACAATAACAACCAATACAAATGTGTGCGCATAAAGATCGATTCAGGGTGATTAGACCAAGTAGTTCGACAGTTTCAGGAGAATAAGCGAATGCAGCATTGAAAGATCTGATCTGTGCCCAACGTTTCTTTTGAATTGACAAGTCGGGCTATTTTTCAAGTGAACATTGGAGCAGTATTATGGAACAAATGAGGCAGGTGTGGGTCAGGAGATCCGGATTGCGGCGGCGCATAGAAACCAGGTCAAAGCGCTTTGTCTCTCAGCTAGTCTGGGCCTACCATGGCACTTTCACATAAAATCAAGTGGGTATCGGTTTTGTTCATCAAGTACCGATCACTACACGGCGCGAGTTCAAAAAACTTTAACTTTTGATTGGCACAGATTTGTATAAATATCATTTTGCGCTCATCATTTTTTGTGGCGAAGTAGCATATAAAAGTTATGAGAGGGGAAAAGAAAACGATTACTAAAAGGGTTGAGCGTATTTCCACTTAGCACTCGAATGTGGACGTATGCAAGTTTGGTTCGATATGGTAGGTTCCACAGCAGATGCCGCGCTTGCGGCACCACTTGCAACTGTGCGGTCTCCGCACGTCGCGGACTAGTACCTCCTGACCCAATACCTGAGAGTGGGGCAGTGAGCTTAAACGTATCAGTGCGGTTGTTCATGATCAGAGCAGTGTTCATCAGAGCCGGTTGCCGGTGTCTCAAGCCTTTCGGACATCACAATGCCAGTAGGGGTTTTGGCGTCAATACGGAGCGCATCTGGGTCCAGCTCTTCCATTTCCTTCAGCGTCTTCAGATGCGGCCGTACACATTCCCAGACCTGAAAAGCTGTAAGATAAGGCGGAAGGAACAACAGAGGTGGAACAATCAATTTGAAAGCTGAAATTCATGAAAAGCGATCCGCTGACGACCTGCAGGTTACGGTAGTCCAGAGCGAGTCACTGTAGGTGAAGCTAGATAATCAGAAAACTAACCTTATTATCTCTCAACAATTGAATGATTGCTTCGATGTCAGCATGCATAGAGCCATGAACAGGAGCTGTAATCTCGGCGCGTTGCTGAAAGAGGTCGCTTGATCAAGCACTATAGTTGCAGCGTTTTTGTCTGTATTGCTATTTCTTGCGTTATAATACTTTACGTATTGTACCGATCGTACAGTGAACTCACGGCGCTAAAGAGCCACCCGTTGATCACGACCTTATTGAGTGGTGGGCAGTAGAGACGAGCGGTTTGAGGAATTCTATACCTTGGCAGCCAGCCAACAGCTCCATAGCGAGTACTATACGCAGAAGATATTATTAGCCATAGAGCTTCGTTCAAAGCATAAATAAGCAGCAAACTCATTTATTTATATTATATCGTAATAACTTCGTAATTGGGTCGCAGGCGTCTGTATGGCAAGCCGCGAGCCCTTACCACCGACCCTGCATACATTATAGGAATCGTCCTGGGGGCAGGGTCGGTCCTATCGTTGTTACTTTTCGAAAAATTTTTACGACCCCCCTCCCCCAAAGGTGGATTTGGTACGACCCCCTTCTCGACCCTCGACCACCATATTCCTCGCTATAGTATTTAATTCTGGTACCACTCAACCCACCAAAACTCCGCCCACTTTTTCCTCCAAAAATGCCGTCGAGCGGGGGGGTATATAGTCACTCTGAAACCGTAAAAATTCCACCAATTTACCCCCTCCTACCTTTAATCCCACGCTTCATTTTCTAGGGGGGTATATACGCGCGCTGAAACGGCAAATTTTCTCCCGCGCCACTCCTCCCTCACCTCATGCAACTTCTCACAATCGAAGCAAGTACGACCCCCCCCCTCTACAACCTCATCAAAATATACGACCCCCCCTCTACAAACTCATCAAAATGTACGACCCCCCTCCTAAAACTCATCAAAGTACGACCCCCCCCCGTTGCTACTTGTAGCAACGTAGGACCGACCCTGTCCTGGTTGTGCACCGTCCACGTAAACCGCGAATTCCATCCTCGGAAGGCCTTTCGAAAAAGTGCCGGACTTGTTTAGGACTTAAGTGACTTTATATCTTGTACGTTCGGCTGGCCACTACGGTGTATCGTGTAGGTCAAACCACATCCAAATGTCCCTACAATTCTGGGTGGAGGTAGAATGCATGGCATATCGTATAA